TCCGAGTCAGAGATGGTGAGAGACAGTGACCAATAAAGCCGAAAGGTATAGGATGACAATTACAGGCATTTACCATAATAGTCAGATCAATCAATAACTGAGAAAGCTTATAGAGCAGCAGCAGCAGCAATAAGAATGCAGGGCAACAGCTGCATTGACAGAGCAGAGGGAGAGCTGGGAAATTGTGCAGTTTAAATAGACTGCCAGATTGGAAGGGTGCGCTTGGTTAGTGATTATGGGAAAAGGCATGTCATGTGTGTATATCAGCGCAGCTCGAGTTGACGACCTGAACTAGCTCGCAGGCTTCGCTCCATTAGTTCATCAAGACTTTCAAAATAAAACAAAACAGCAGTGGAGTTTCTAATATTCTGTCCTTCACTGTGTAAATATAAATTAATGGTACACAGGCTCATACTGTTTGATTACTACATGTTTATTATGAATACACAAACTGTACAACATCACCATAAATCCTGAAACACACACTGTGTGTGTGTAAGCAAAGTTTATTATAAGATAGATTATTATCTAAATCTAAACTTTGAAGACCTGAACACAATCTATATACACAGAGCCTTCACCCTCTGCTAAACAGCCCTATCCTGCATTAAGCATAAAGTATGCAGTTAAAACAACAAATAGCTGATAGAACAATAAGAAAAATATGTCAAAAAAAGAAACCCATTACATATGTATGGTTGATAAAAAATAAGAAAATCACAATACAGACAGACACTTACATGAAAAGTAAAAATGAAATTGCAGGAAATGTCTGATGTAATATTCACAGAAATAATCTGCCAATCTAAATTTATTACTTAAATAAATGTCCTGCAGTTCTTGTGTTCACAAGTTTAGGTTTATTGTTTATTGTATTATTGTTTATTGTTTAAGTGAAAGACACTTCAGCCTTACAGCTTTGTGAGATTCATTTGTAATTTTTTATATTGTTTTTGGTAATCAGTGTAAATCATTCCATCCTAATAAATAACATAACCTCATATGTATTGCTCACCCATGACTGCTATTGCAAATGATACCTCTCTTACAGTTTAGACCATATTTCTTCTTTCATGCTGTTTTTCAGTTATTATAAGTACTTGTGTTGGTTCAGAATCTTAATATTGTGAGCCTGTTTGTCCCCTTTTTGAAACATTGTGTGTGTTATTTAATCTAAACAGAAGACTTGACCTGATTTTTGGGATCCCAGCAGGAATGGGCCTTAGCTTTAGACGGTGTTGAACTATTAGCTGAAGTACAACACTAATAGTATGAATGTGTACTGTTATAGCCTGTAATTTGAATTTGAACTGCTCTTTTATAGTTTCTATTGTATGTTGGTGTTGCAAGTTCACATTGCTGTTGAAGTGAATTTCTATACATTTTGCGCTATGTAAATAAGACTGTTCGTCCTTTTCTCAAACCTGTGTGTCTCGTTTGCACTGTAGCTTTTCTGACAAACTTTAGACTCGTAGGTTTCCACAAGCCGATCTACAGTGTCCTCTCTGTACTTTAATGACCTTTATCTGTAACAAAGATAATGAAGGAATGCCATATATGAATTTAAACCTAAAGGCACAATCTGTGGTTAGTTTACAGTCATCTTCCTGCTCAGCTGCCAGTGTGCATGGTTCACATCTGAATGTCATGTCCACTCCATCTGCTGCAACTAAAATGCAGAGCACAGGGACTCGCAGAAGTGGCCAAAAGGATGCTACAACAGTTCTGATAGGGCCTTTAATTACTCTCATCCATAGTGTCTGTAGGATCTGTTCCACTGGTGCTAAAACAATGCGGTCTCTGGACAGAGCCGTCAGTACAGTTAAGATTCTCAAGTTAAACTAGGGCTTATTACTCTGTTACCAAGATTCAGGCATTTCTGGGAGTTTTTATTTCAGTTGATGTTGTAATCTCAGACCACACCATGTGCTGAGTCTGTTATTGTAAAGTCAGGGTACAACAAAGCACTTAAAGGGTTCACAACTTCTTCTAGTGGCTTGATCAGCTTGATCAGTTAGTTAGCTAGGGTTCTTTAATGGTGTACATGGACTCTAACAGGAAGACAAAAGCCTCAGAGAGACTCACAGAAAACAGTTTCCTTCCAAGTTCTCTCACGCGTTTGTTTACATAAGGCTAGACCCCGTTACTATGGGCAACCTGTTGCCAAACAAGAGTCAGACTCACACACTGATGCCAACCTAGGTCTCCTTTTTGAAATATTCAATGTATGTTTTTTAAATGTGTCTATATATGCATTTCTAAAACCTTAGCAGGCATGACAAAAGCTGCAATGTATGGGCTCGCCTCGGTACAACATCTTCTTGAAGATGGACATACAGTAGTTTGCTATAGGAAGTGTACCCAGGGGCTTTAATGCTGGACTGAGGGCTCAGCTGTGGAATGAGCCGCTCCTGGTCAGTTCTGAGGGAGATGAGGGAGATGAGGAAACCGATAAAAACAAAAATCATAAGCCACATTTGAACATCGCCTTCATGTAAACAGGTAGAGGGAAACACGTGAAGTTCATATGAAAGATCCTGGTATCTGTGAGGTGTCCGACGTACTGTGGGAAGATTGGACTTCTCATGTATATTTGAGCTATTCTATTTCCTAACCTCTGCTCCTTTCCAGTTAATCAGAGTTAGTATATCAGACTTTGGCAGACCCTTTAAACTCTTAATCCAGAGCTTTAACCCATATTGTAGTGCAGACTATTTACTGAGGGGTATTGCAACATTGTCAGTATATTACATGTTTATGTTGTTACATGTTTGGATGTTTATTTGGCCATTGACTGGCTGATTTTGGAGTGTACAGATGGAAATCAGAGGAATGAAATTAGTAGCTGTTCAATGCACTTTTATTATGGGACATTTCCATTAGCAGCACCATTTTGAGGGCTTCTATCCCTCCACACATGAGAAGGGTGCAACGAAAGAGTGGTGCAAAAATGAAAAAAATAATAATAATAAAAAAAAAAAACATGGTGTGAAGAAGAAAGAGAGAAAAAAAGGCCAAGTGTGGTTGGGGACTCCGGCTGGGCCGCTGGAAACACGATATCAGTCAGTGTGTTGGATGGCAGGGATTTGTGGGGACACTCGTACGGAACAGGAGTGTACTGAGTCTTAAATCCTCACCTGTCTGTGTCACCTTGGTGTGTAAAGGTTCTGACACCACCACATTTCTGTCAGATCACGCACTTGGCGTCGACCCGCATGCCTAAAGAAGGGTGCACAAAGTGTGACCTGTTGACTTTAACCTTTAATAGAAAATTGCTTGCAATATGGAACACATCTGTTACACAACTGTTTGTACTGCCTGAGAAAAGTTGCACCCAGTTTTAGAGCTTGTATAATTGAGAGGAGTCAGTATTTTTATGGTTTGAAAAAAAAAAAAGTATCCTCCACCGAAAGATGTACAGTTGGAAAAAAAAGAAGCATTTTGTACACCATTCTTGATGTTTGAGAGAAAACATCATAACATTGAGGAATGTTCCATTTTCCTGTAAATTGTACCTCTATTTATTTGCCTTATTTAGTTTGCTATATTTTGTATGTACACACAGCATTACAACAAAATGTTATATTAAAAATATGAATATGAATAATTAAACTGTGGTCCGTGTATGATGGATAGTTTGAGTCTTGTATAAGAATGAAAATCCTTTTTTCCCATTTCTATAATTTTATTTTTGTTTTGTATTTTTTTCTCACCCTGTGTCTTTTGTAGGGTTACAATAAACTTTTGTCCCTTCCAGCTGATTGTTTATTGTCTTCTTCACAATCATTTATTGAGGGGAGGGTTTGGGTAACAGGTGTATTGACACAACATAACATAACACAAAAAGCCCTTTTAAAAATGTGCTTCAAAGTAATTTAAAAAATCAGACCGTCTGCAGCCCTGATCTTCTCGTGCAGAGACTGAGACTAGAAGCTCTAACTGCAAAGTCTCTACCACCTCTGAGTATCAATCTGGACCTAGGAACAACGGAGCGACACATCTGAGGATGTCATGGGCAGGATGTAGCATGAATGAAGATGGAGTCAAAATTAATTTTGGCCTAAACAACGGTGTCCCCAGAAGCGATGCAATGGATATCCACTGTCATTTACACTATATATATGTGTATCAGTGCACATCTTACAGAGCAAGGCTCCAACAAATAAAATGCTTTTGTCTTTCAGGATTTTTTTCATTCTACTGTAACTTGTGCCTTCATTTATTTCCCTTATTCAGTTTGCTATATTTTGTACATGCACACAGCTTTACAACAAAATGTTATAATAAAAGTAGAAATGCACGCCCTGGTGGCTCACCTGGTGGAGCTGGCTGAGTCCTTGCTGCAGCGACCATGGGTTCAAGTCCAACCTGTGGCCCTTTGCTGAATGTCATTCTCCCCTCTCTCCCCCTCTCTGTCACTTTGCAGCTGTCACTATCAGCATGTTGAGGAAAGTATTGAGAGCTCTGTAGGTAGAGTAAAATGAGAAGGTCATTCCTGCCATCTGCTGTCATTAATGCAATGTTACCTCCAGACAAAGACAATATCTTAATAATAAGATCTTTGCTTATTTCCTTTGCAGCCAGTGGTGATGTCCTCACTTCTCTAAGATCATTCAAAGGCAAACAAGCACTAAGCCTGACGCCTTCTGGTTGGTTCGTTGATGGGTTGGTCAATATGCTCTCATCCAACAAAGGTCTTATTGGTCGGACAATCACTGGTGTTACTTTATGAAGAGGAAAAACATTTCTTTATCCATTATTTTCCGGGGTGGGAGGGACTTATGCAGACCCGATGTATATTGATGTATGCTATATTGTTAGAAATTACATTAATTATGTAAAAAATAATAAAATTCAAATATATTTTACTCAACAAATTTGGTTCTGTTTTAATAATAATGTAGTTTTATAGACCAAAAACTGATAACTTCAACCGGCAACCTGGAGAGTACAGGGCTAAACTTACTGAACACTTATTCACACAATTTTTCTGTTTTCAGAACCAGTTTAGGTTACTTTATTTGTATCCAAAGGTAGATTTGGTCCCAATCCACTACGTGTGGAAGAATTAATTACATTCATGAGAACAGATATTTAATAATCATTCAAGTGTACATGTCACTGAGGACTGAATGTAAAGACAACATACTGTATGTCCATGTCTGTAGATGGGACTGAAGGAACAAGAACATTTATGACATGGGGAATTCATTTGTGAAAAAATGTAATGTAATTACAACTTAGCTCATATCAGTTAATTTCAATGAACATATTTATTTTGATTTCAAAAGCCTTCCTTTCAATCAGAAGAAAACAGTATTTAGACAGTAAGCATCATAAAAATAATGCAGAAGCTCATTTGCATACAACGCTAACAGTTTTAATTATTATGATATCACAATGAGGTGTTCAAACCCAGAGCCTTTGTGAACACCCTGTGTGCATCCTCAGCAAGCATGTTGAGGAAAGTACTGAGAGCTCTGTACGTGGAGATGAAAGAGAAGGTCATCGCTAGTGGGATTCCAATTAATGGAATAAATCTGGACCCTTCCTCTGCTGCCATTAATGCAGCTTCACCTGCAGACAAACATAGTAGCTTAATAACAAGATCTTTGCTTATTTCCTTTGCAGCCAGTGGTGATGTCATCACTTCTTTAAGATCATTCAAAGGCACACGAGCTGTACGAGCAAGATTCTCAAGTGACTCACAATCAAGACCAAAAGTAACTTGGTACATTCTGATGGTTTCAGCCAGAATGGTTACATCAGTAGCAAAAGAAAGCCCAGCAACTGGGGCAGATGCTATGAGTGCAGATACAGAGGCATGGTACTTTATTTTGGCCTGTAAAGCCTCTTTCTTCTTGTTGATGATCTCCAGGTTGATGTTGAGCATGGCCAACAGCAGAGCATTCCTCTTGTGTGCAGGAAGTTCTCTCTCTAGGGTCTCCTCTAACAGATGGAAATCATACAGGTGGAGCTCAAAGCTGGACACCAGGAAGACTTGAGGAGACTCCTGTGTGTATCATGTGACTAAAACAGACAGAAAAGAAAACATGGAATGCCTAAAAGCACTGTTTTTGGCAGTAAGAACTTAAGTGATTTTGGTTATTATCAAGAAAACCATGGAAAATGGCTAGATATCAGCTCTTAAATTAAAATCTTATGAGCTATTTTTGTTGTTATCATTATATTTGTCCAAACAAATGTACCTTTAGTTGTACCAGGCAGTAAAATGAACAAGAAGCTGAAGAAACAAGGGTGGTCTAATACTTTTTTTCTTTTTGGATAAATCAAAACCCACTTTTTCCAACACAAATCCTGTTTCTGCTTCTGTCTCATTGTCTCACTGCTTGGTTCCTTACAGATGGATTCTTATGAGAGTTTTTACACACAAGGGATTTGCTTTGGTCCATAAGAATCACAATCAAGTGTAGAAAAATAAAGATAGAAGATACAAATAGAGACAAATAAGAAGGAGCCACTATAAGTATAAAGAGAGTATACAAAATGGCTGGATACTTATAAGAGTAGGAAGTAAAACACAAAATGGATGACATGGAAAGATGAAAGCTGTTGTCAGTCATGTGCGTCAAATCTGGAATCGGCCAAGTCCTTCTTGAATTGCAGCTAAAAACCTATTTTGACTAGAGTGTCAAGGGTGTAACCAATTCAGTGTCCAACCAACTGAGCTATGGTGTTGAAAAATGGGCCAAATGGTTGGTTTTTTGTTTATATCAGGACATTATGATGTCACAGTGAAGTTGACCTTTTACCTTTTGGAAAAATCCTTTCATAGCTCTATCCCATTAACTATTTCTGTAAAATTCTGTTATAATTACTGTTGAGTTGGAACCAAAAATCAGTTTCTCAAGGTAATTTTATTATCATCATCATCATCATCTTTGCTCAAAGTACTGTACCATAAAAAACATTGTAATACACAATTTAGAGCATTGAGACTGTGATACATGACTTACCTAATGGATGTACTTGCAACACCATTCAGCAAAAACGTTTAAGTTCTCTGCGCAGTTGTTCAGTTGTACAGTGTTCAGTCGCTTATATAGTCAGTGGGAAACGCCCTGCTGGGAAAGCACCTGATTTACAAGAAACACAGAGAGGACAGGAGTGGTTTGTTTATTAGAGCTGAAGTTCTGCACCTCCTAGTGACGGGCATGGTAGTTTCAGTGTATTGAGGTAGTCCGTAATCCATGTCACCAGGAGTGGGTCCACTCTCATCTCTGTCAGCTTGTCTCCCAGCATGAGCGGCCGGATGGTGTTGAAAAAAAACGCACAGCGCCGCTCTCCTTGTCCAGATGAGAGTAGGCCCTATGGAGCAGATAGAGGATGGCATCCTCCACGCCCACCTTCTCCTGGTATCCAAACTGCAATGGATCTTGTGTGTGGTGGACCTGGGGTCTGAGGACATGGAGAATCAACCGCTCGAAGGTCCTCATTATGTGTGACGTCAGTACTACTGGTCTGAAGTCATCCGGCTCCCTGGGGTGTTTTTTCTTAGGAACCGGGATGAGACATGAAGTCTTCCAGAGTACTGGGACCCTCCCCAGCTGCAGGCTCAGGTTGAAGACATGCTGGAATGGCTCCCCGAGTTCATTAATTACACCCAAAATGTAATTGACAACTGTGGGAGTTATATCATATTATTTTCCCCAAATATCTATGATCACTTCTCTTTTATTGCCTTTTATTCTTGATAGTGACAGGGGGCAGAGAGAGGGGATGACACACAGCAAAGGGCCACAGGTCGGTTTCGAACCCTGAGCCGCTGCAGCAAGGACTCAGTCTCTGTACACGGATCGGCAGCTCTACCAACTGAGCTAACTGGACACCCCAATGATCGCTTCTCGTCAAAAAACTCAAATACAACCGGTAAAGGGTTAACTGATGTAGGCACACATTGAGATTTATGATCCTGGAAGGTAATCTTCCTCTTTTTGATGGTGGTGGGGTGGAGTGATGAAGCGCTTGAGCCGTTGTTTTCACAGAGGTCCCATTTTCTGTTTGGAAACATTTAACAGAAGTTTACTGGAATAAATTTTCTTTCACTGAAAATCTGGACCAGCAACATGTTTTTATCCCTAGGATCCCTAGGACTGCTATTGGGCGGCTGTGGCTCAGAGGCAGAGTGGGTCGTTCCTTGATCGGAAGGTTGTGGGTTCGATCCCCTTCCCCGGTGCCACATGTTGAAGTATCCTTGAGCAAGATACTGAACCCCAAACTGCTCCTGATGTTGTGCGGTGTATGAATGCGAGTTTCTCATCATTCTCTCTGAAGCGAGTGTCTGAGATGATGATGAAGATGTCGAACTTCTCAAATCCAACATGCTCCAGGTATTTGTCAGCTGGAAACTTGGTGGTTCCAACACCAGGAAGATCCCACAGAGTAACATTGGGGTAGTTTGGATGGGGGTATGGTGCAACTTTCATTGTGGTTTCTACACTACCAGTAGGGGGCAGCTCTCTCATCTCTGTTGACAAAGGTGGATTTACCAGAGCCTGTCTCTCCTGTGATGGCAATATTCAGTGGGGTGTTATTCTTCTTGTCCAAATACTCCTGGATCTTTGCAACAGCTAAAGCTTGATTATTGTTTTGTAGAGTTTCTTTAATTTCTTTAGTGAATTCAGAATGCAGTGGATTATCCATGGTGATCTTTGAAAACTGGAGGAAACAAGAAGTCAAAAAGTCACTATTTTCTTTTGGGGAATAGTAGAAAATTTAATTCTACAATGATCTATCATCCACAGGGTGCAAACTACAAAGGATCCAATAAGACATGAGCTCCACTGAAGACATGATATATGAGATTTTGGGGGACTTCTATACTAAAATACTGACAATATGCAATTTTTGCCATGCATTTTTATTTTTCTGTATCTTCATCATCATGGATCATGTGTAGTGTGTTAGGCTATTGTTGATGTATGATTGATGCACAAGGGTAATTCAACGTTTAAATTCTTCCATACTGATGCAAAAATCTAATTCTACAAATGAATACAAATTATATATTCAAATAATAATAAATTAAGAAAATTCATAGGCTCATATTTTTGCCTCAGTAAATATGGTGCAAATCACCTTCAAACACCCTAATAAAAAATGTAAGCACATTGTGGTGTCCAGCAAACGATGTGGGCTTCATTGATAACTGGAAGCCTTTTTGGGGAAAACCTGGTCTGATTAGGAGAGACGGCATCCATCCCACTTTGGATGAAGCGGCTCTCTTATCTAGCAACATGGCGAAGTTTATTTCTAAAACCTGACAGTCCAGAGTTAGGACCAGGAAGCAGAGCTGCTGTCTTACACACTTCTCTGCGCTTTCTTTAGAACAGTCACCCACCCAAAACCCCATAGAGACTGTGTCTGTCCCCCGACCACCTAAATTATTTAAAGAAATAAAAACAAGAGTTCAACATAAAATTTAATAAAAATTAAAACCAACTCCTCAGTAGCACAAAATAAGAGAATGAAATGTGGGCTGTTAAATATCAGGTCTCTGTCCTCTAAAGCTGTTTTAGTGAACGAATTAATATCAGATTATGATATTGATTTACATTGTCTTACTGAGACCTGGCTGTCCCACGAGGAGTATGTTAGCCTAAATGAATCCACCCCCCCAGTCATATTAATACTCACATTCCTCGAGGCACAGGCCGAGGAGGTGGAGTGGCAGCCATATATGATTCGAGCGTTTTAATGGACCCTAAACCTAAACTAAATTATAATTCATTTGAAAGCCTTGTTCTTAGTCTTTCTCACCCAAACTGGAAAACACTGCAGCCAGTTCTATTTGTTATAGTGTACCGTGCTCCTGGACCGTACTCTGATTTTATATCTGAATTTTCAGAGTTTTTTATCAAGTTTAGTCCTTAAATCAGATAAAGTAATTATTGTAGGTGATTTTAATATTCATGTGGATGTTGACAATGACAGCCTTAGTAATGAATTTATATCATTAATAGACTCAATTGGCTTCTGTCAGAGTGTAAATAAACCAACTCATTGTTTTAATCACACTGTTGACCTTGTTTTATCATATGGCACTGATATTGAACATTTAATAGTCTTCCCACATAATCCTTTCCTATCTGACCATTATTTAATAACTTTTGAATTCATACTATTAGATTATAAGCCATTAGGCAAAACTTCCTACAGCAGATGTCTATCTGACAGTGCTGTAGCTAAATTTAAGGAGGAGATTCCTTCAGTGTTTAATTCAATGCCATGTCTGAATTTAACAGAGTCCTATAATGACTTTAGTCCCTCTGAAATTGATAATCTTGTCGATAGTGCTACAGGCTCACTACATTCAACATTAGACTCTATCGCTCCTATAAAAGGAAATTATTAAAACATAGGAGACTAGCACCTTGGTATAACCATCAAACCCGCCAGTTAAAACAAATAGCTAGGAAATCTGAAAGGAAATGGCGCTCTTCCAAATTATCAGAATATCGCTCAATTTGGCAAGATAATCTTAAAACCTATAGAAAGGCCCTCCGTAATGCCAGAGGAGCCTATTATTCAGCACTAATAGAAGAAAATAAGAACAACCCTAGGTTCCTCTTCAGCACTGTAGCCAGGCTGACAGAGAGTCACAGCTCTATTGAGCCACATATCCCCATAAACTTAAGTAGCAATGACTTCATGAGCTTCTTCTATAATAAAATTATTACTATTAGAGAAAAAATTAATCACCAACTGCCATCAACAGTTATCAGTGGCTCTCCAAGTTCAGGGACTTCTGTCAATGTAAACTTAGATATATATTTAGACTATTTTTCTGCTATCGATCTTCATCAGTTAACTTCAATCATTTCTTCATCGAAGCCATCAACCTGTCTATTAGACCCGATCCCAACTAGGCTGCTTAAAGAAGTTGTTCCCTTAATTGGCACTTCTTTACTGGATATGATTAATCTTTCTTTATTATCAGGATATGTACCACAGTCCTTTAAAGTAGCTGTAATTAAACCCCTTCTTAAAAAGTCCACTCTTGACCCAGGGGTTTTAGCCAACTATAGACCGATTTCTAACCTCCCCTTCCTCTCTAAGATTCTGGAGAAAGTAGTCGCCAAAGAGTTGTGTGACTTTCTACATAACAATAGTTTATTTGAGGATTTTCAGTCAGGATTTAGAGTTCATCATAGCACAGAGACAGCTCTAGTTAAAGTTAATAATGACCTTCTGACTGCTTCTGACAATGGACTTGTCTCTGTACTTGTATTATTAGATCTTAGTGCTGCATTTGACACCATTGACCATGATATTCTTTTACAGAGACTTGAGCATCAAATTGGCATTAAAGGAACTGCCCTAAGCTGGTTTAAGTCATACTTATCAGATCGTTCTCAGTTTGTACATGTTAACGATGAATCCTCTATAAATACTACAGTTAGTCATGGAGTTCCACAAGGTTCTGTACTTGGACCAATACTATTTACTTTATATATGCTCCCTTTAGGCAACATTATTAGGAATCACTCCATTAACTTTCACTGTTATGCAGATGATACGCAGTTATATCTATCAATCAAACCCAATGAAATTAATCAATTATCTAAATTACAAACATGTCTTACGGACATAAAATCCTGGATGACCTGCAATTTTCTGATGTTAAACTCAGAAAAAACGAAATTCTTGTTCTTGGCCCCAAAAACCTTAGAGACTCATTGTCTAAAGATATAGTCACTCTAGATGGCATTAACTTGGCCTCTAGCACCACTGTCAGGAATCTTGGAGTTATCTTTGATCAGGATTTGTCATTTAACTCCCACATAAAGCAGACCTCTAGGACCGCCTTCTTTCATTTACGTAATATTAGAAAAATTAGACACATCACACTATCACAGACAGATGCAGAAAAACTAATCCATGCATTTGTTACTTCAAGGCTGGATTACTGCAACTCTTTATTATCAGGTTGCCCCAATAAGTCCATTAAAACGCTCCAATTAATTCAGAACCCTGCAGCACGAGTACTGACAGGAACTAGAAAAAGAGATCACATCTCTCCTGTACTAGCTACTCTGCATTGGCTCCCTATAAAATGTAGAATTGAATTTAAAATCCTCCTCCTCACCTATAAAGCTCTTCATGGTCAGGCCCCTTCATATCTTAAAGAGCTCATAGTACCCTATTACCCCACTAGAACATTACGTTCACTGAATGCAGGGCTACTTGTGGTTCCTATAGTCTCTAAAAAGTAGAACAGGAGCCAGAGCCTTCAGTTACCAAGCTCCTCTCCTGTGGAACCAGCTTCCAGTTGTGGTTCGGGAGGCAGACACCCTCTCCACATTCAAGAGTAGGCTTAAGACATTCCTCTTTGATAAAGCTTATAGTTAGGGCTGGATCAGGTGAGTCCTGAACCATCCCTTAGTTATGCTGCTATAGGCCTAGACTATCGGGGGATTTCCCATGGTGCACTGAGCTACTCTCTTCCTCTCTCTTTCTGCACTCATTCATGTCCCATTAATGCATGTTACTAACTTCACTTCTTCCCCGGAGTTCTTGTGCTTTCTCGTCTCGCAGGTTCTCATGGATCCTGGTGGAGCCTCCTGCCATGGTCCTGCTTGACTGCCATTGCCAATACTGTTGTTGCTGTGCACCTGTCTGTCTGTCTGTCTCTCGCTCTCTCTCTCTCTGCCTCTCTCTCTATCTGCTAATGCTCTTTTTGTCTCTCACAAATGGCCACATGACCTTTTCACCAAATATCTCAGTGAAACGTGGCACAAAAGTGGTCAGAGTGAAAAATAAACAAATAATCTGCTCTGTTTTCGGAATTAACAAGACACCTCCAGCACACTATCCATGCCAAGGGCCAGCTCGCAGCGCCACTGAGCCTAACCAAACTCATGTAAGCAGCCTCCAGCATGTTCCAGTGGGCCCATGCAGGGCTCCGTGTTCCCTAGCCTTCAATCATTTTTCTTCAAATACAAATTCCACTGTCACAGGCATTCAGTTGTTTTACACCAATGGTCTCAATACACCACTAAAGGGTTGTAACCCACGTGTAGTTAACAGAATACTCACTTAGAACCAGTGTCCAGGCTCTTAGGAGGAGTTGAAAGAGTATGACAGACACAATAAGCAACTGGAGCCACAGGGTACTTTAACTTCAAATGTGAATGTATTGGAAGTTGTATAATGAAAAATAACAAAGGTCCTTTCTTAACCAGGACTCTGGAACAAAAATAGTTTCACAGTGTTTTAAAGAAATTAACATAAACCACCTTAGAAATATAATACCCAACACAGTTGTTGGAAATATATTTGGTATGAAATAGAGTTCAGGATAAATAAAGTCCAGGATTCCTTTGATCCACTCAAGTTCCAGTTTAGTTAGTTGTCGTCCGTTCAGCTAGCTTAAGTCAGAGGGTCAGTTTCAGTTCAAAGCGCTTTAGTTCTGTCAGAAGTCATATGGTAAGGTGTGAAGTTGTCACAGTCCTACCACTCAAATGATGGGGAATGAAGGCAGGGATGGTCTTCTCCTCTGGGCAAAGATGGTTCCAACTCCTTGGAATAAGGAGGGGATTTGGTTCAGTACTGGCTCGCCATCTCCTTCGTCAAGGAGGATCCAAAATCCAAATCTAAGGGTGTCTCCAGGGAATCTCAAAAACCTAGCCTTTCTCCTATGGAGTACTTTATCATCCTCACACCATTCATGAACTATTTGTAGCTTTGTTTAACCATGAATTATGATTATTTAATGTTTTAACCATCAAGTTAACATAGGACTTTTTTTTTTCTAATGATAACATGCATATTTATGTTTATAACAACTCTCTTTAAATTATGAAATAACCACATTAGGTATTTTACACACCTTATATTTTCTTATAAAAGGTTATAGCTTAAATGCACATATCCAACATTACCTATTATTATTATTAGCACTAGCAGTGCATAACTTAGCAGTCACACTTCCAGTGTAAACAGTTAAGTACAAAAGTAAAATTATACACCAAAGTAAAAGACTGCTATAACTCATAATTTTAATATTTCCTAACAGATATACTGCTTTAACTCTCAAAATCAATACATATACAATGTAAAGTTAACATATAGGCAATAAGAAAAGGAAAAACACGCTGCGCTGCCAGGTGTTGGCCGACAGCACTGGCTACTATTGTTAGCCACATTAGCAAAACTCAGAACTTAACTCACCAAGACTCTGCTAAAGGCATTCAACAAGGTGTGTAAAATACCTAATGTGGTTATTTCATAATTTAAAGAGAGTTGTTATAAACATAAATATGCATGTTATCATTAAAAAAAAAAAAAGTCCTATGTTAACTTGATGGTTAAAACATTAAATAATCATAATTCATGGTTAAACAAAGCTACAAATAGTTCATGAATGGTGTGAGGATGATAAAGTACTCCATAGGAGAAAGGCTAGGTTTTTGAGATTCCCTGGAGACACCCTTAGATTTGGATTTTGGATCCTCCTTGACGAAGGAGATGGCGAGCCAGTACTGAACCAAATCCCCTCCTTATTCCAAGGAGTTGGAACCATCTTTGCCCAGAGGAGAAGACCATCCCTGCCTTCATTCCCCATCATTTGAGTGGTAGGACTGTGACAACTTCACACCTTACCATATGACTTCTGACAGAACTAAAGCGCTTTGAACTGAAACTGACCCTCTGACTTAAGCTAGCTGAACGGACGACAACTAACTAAACTGGAACTTGAGTGGATCAAAGGAATCCTGGACTTTATTTATCCTGAACTCTATTTCATACCAAATATATTTCCAACAACTGTGTTGGGTATTATATTTCTAAGGTGGTTTATGTTAATTTCTTTAAAACACTGTGAAACTATTTTTGTTCCAGAGTCCTGGTTAAGAAAGGACCTTTGTTATTTTTCATTATACAACTTCCAATACATTCACATTTGAAGTTAAAGTACCCTGTGGCTCCAGTTGCTTATTGTGTCTGTCATACTCTTTCAACTCCTCCTAAGAGCCTGGACACTGGTTCTAAGTGTATTTGAGTATTCTGTTAACTACACGTGGGTTACAACCCTTTAGTGGTGTATTGAGACCATTGGTGTAAAACAACTGAATGCCTGTGACAGTGGAATTTGTATTTGAAGAAAATGATTGAAGGCTAGGGAACACGGAGCCCTGCATGGGCCCACTGGAACATGCTGGAGGCTGCTTACATGAGTTTGGTTAGGCTCAGTGGCGCTGCGAGCTGGCCCTTGGCATGGATAGTGTGCTGGAGGTGTCTTGTTAATTCCGAAAACAGAGCAGATTATTTGTTTATTTTTCACTCTGACCACTTTTGTGCCACGTTTCACTGAGATATTTGGTGAAAAGGTCATGTGGCCATTTGTGAGAGACAAAAAAGAGCATTTGTGAGTCGTAGCAGAACATTCAAGCAGTTGTTATTTATGAGTTGCTCATGTTAGAAAAGAAATATTTGTACCAAAATATGTGTGCAGCTCTGAATGCATGAATTCACATGCAGTTTTTGGATGTGCTTACATTTTTTATTAGGGTGTTTGAAGGTGATTTGCACCATATTTACTGAGGCAAAAATATGAGCCTATGAATTTTCTTAATTTATTAATATTTGAATATATAATTTGTATTCATTTGTGGAATTGGATTTTTGCATCAGTATGGAAGAATTTAAACGTTGAATTACCCTTGTGCATCAATCATACATCAACAATAGCCTAACACACTACACATGATCCATTATGATGAAGATACAGAAAAATAAAAATGCATGGCAAAAATTGCATATTGTCAGTATTTTAGTATAGAAGTCCCCCAAAATCTCACAAATCATGTCTTCAATGGAGCTCATGTCTTATTGGATCCTTTGTAGTTTGCACCCTGTGGATGATAGATCATTGTAGAATTAAATTTTCTACTATTCCCCAAAAGAAAATAGTGACTTTTTGACTTCTTGTTTCCTCCAGTTTTCAAAGATCACCATGGATAATCCACTGCATTCTGAATTCACTAAAGAAATTAAAGAAACCCTACAAAACAATAATCAAGCTTTAGCTGTTGCAAAGATCCAGGAGTATTTGGACAAGAAGAACAACACCCCACTGAATATTGCCATCACAGGAGAGACAGGCTCTGGTAAATCCACCTTTGTCAACAGAGATGAGAGAGCTGCCCCTACTGGTAGTGTAGAAACCACAATGAAAGTTACACCATACACCCATCCAACTACCCCAATGTTACTCTGTGGGATCTTCCTGGTGTTGGAACCACCAAGTTTCCAGCTGACAAATACCTGGAGCTTGTTGGATTTGAGAAGTTCGACATCTTCATCATCATCTCAGACACTCGCTTCAGAGAGAATGATGTGAAACTCGCTCAGGAGATTCAGAAGAGGGAGAAAAAGTTCTACTATGTTCGCTCAAAGATTGACAACGATTTACGAGCTGAGAAAAGAAGTCAGAGGGAGTTTGATGAGAAAAGACGATCACACAAATCAGGGAAAATGCATTCAAGGTAAGGGTCTTATGGAATCATTTATGATAATAAGGAGATTAATGACTGGATTTCCATCATTTAAAACAAGTAGAAAAATACAAGATAATTAATAACTATATGTCTGTTTATACTTCAGTGAACTCATGATAGTTTGTCTTGACTCCAACATACTGTTCTCTTTTATTTGAAGAATTTATTTCTCAAATTACAGTCAGATAGCTGTCAATATGATGTTAAGTTACAACAAAGTTGTCTGGTGGTGGTGGAGTCTGACATAAATGTGCTTTTAGTAACTTCCCAAACTTGATGCCAAAGATGCTGAAGGTAATCCGGGTTTCTTCTACAGAAACCCCAGTCCCTGTTTTAAAACAGAAGTTTACGGGACTAATTGTCTTTCATAGAAAATCTGGACTGATGAGATGCTGTTGTAACCACGCCCAATAGAGGACTCGGCCCAAATTGATAAGTAAAATAAATCGACAATGCCACCTTGGGACTTTCACCCAAAGAGTTAAAATGTGAAATTGATGACAGTTTTTACAAACCCACTGATTCCCACTGGCACAGGTAAGACCACTTAAAAGATCAGAAACAAGGTTTTCCTTTTGAACAGCTTGAAATAATTTATTACCGGGACCATAAAACAACTGCACAAGTAAAAGGATAAACGACCAATAATACTGGAAACACAATAGGAGAGTAGAGTTTCGTTTATGGGTGGAAAACTATTGATAAATAGTGGCTGCAGTCTGTGGTTCTACAGGGTGGATCTTATAAAAGGGGCTATAAATAAACACTTCAACACCCAAGTATAACTAAATAAAACCCAAATAACACACTTAAAAGTACATGCAATGTTATTAAAAAGGAGCCACCTATTGTACCACCTCTGGACCAAATAACCCGAACCATTATCAAAAATTAATTAATAGTTTTCCTAAAACCGAAACCAAATTAAAAACCCCTAAAAACGAAACACAATATTCAATTCATTATGCTACCGTGTAAGTGTGGTGCTATTTTGAGCCTTGTTAATGGTATAGAAATAGCTTTCTTTTCACGTTACTCTGTGCCCCGTTGACTAGCGTTATACGGTAATTAGCGGTTTGTGCTAAAACTGGTCACGTACGATTAGAATTAAAACATATCCCAGAGAACGAACCAACTCGGTACACATGTGTTATTAACCGCAGGTTCATTTTGCGCCGGAATTGTCCTTTAACAAGGCTTTTTAAGGTCACTGTTTTTTGGAGGATTGTTTGGCCTTAGTGCCTGACTCTTTTATATTGCCTTCTGAGTATCTTGTTTTTGTATTTGTTTGGCATGTAGATGGTGTTGATAATTTATTTATGGCTTTGAACATTTTCAAAAAACAATATCAGCATTTAATACACCAATATGGTAAATGGTCCTGTACTTGTATAGCGCCTTTCTAGTCTTCAGATATAACTCCCACAGTTGTCAATTACATTTTTGGTGTAATTAATGAACTCGGGGAGCCATTCCAGCATGTCTTCAACCTGAGCCTGCAGCTGGGGAGGGTCCCAGTACTCTAGAAGACTTCATGTCTCATCCCGGTGCCTAAGAAAAAACACCCCAGGGGAGCCGGATGACTTCAGACCAGTAGTACTGACGTCACACATAATGAGGACCTTCGAGCGGTTGATTCTCCATGTCCTCAGACCCCAGGTCCCCCACACACAAGATCCATTGCAGTTTGGATACCAGGAGAAGGTGGGCGTGGAGGATGCCATCCTCTATCTGCTCCATAGGGCCTACTCTCATCTGGACAAGGAGAGCGGCGCTGTGCATTTTTTTTTTTCAACACCATCTGGCCGCTCCTGCTGGGAGACAAGCTGACAGAGATGAGAGTGGACCCACTCCTGGGGACATGGATTACGGCTACCTCACTGAGAGACCACAGTACGTCAGACTGAAGGGCTGCACGTCAGACACTGTGGTCAGCAGCACCGGAGCAACACAGGGGACCATGCTCTCTCCCGTCCTCTTCACCTTGTACAGATCTGGGCTCTGCCACATGCAGAAATACTGGGACGATACTGCAATACTTGGCTCAGGATGGACGGGATGGGGAATAAAGGAGCCTGGTCTAGGACTTAGTGAGGTGGTGCAGGTCCAACCATCTGCAGCTGAACACCTCCAAGACCAAGATGGTCTGATATGCAGCAGTCATGAATACCCTATAATGTACACTACATCTTTAGAAAGATCTAAATGTCTGTCCACTCTTCCTTTAAAAATCACACTAAAACAGTTTGGCATACTGAGGTGACGAGGTAGAATTTCATTAGCACTATAAAATCAGAGCTCTTCCACAGAGGAAGGAGACATCTATTCTCATAGACAGTAAAATTACAAGTTTAGTGGATCCTCTATCTTAATGAGCCTGTTTTAGACAGAGAGAAGCAGCTTCCTCTTATGTTTCATTGAAAATATTTTTTTCTTTAGAGACTGACCAATGAAAATGTCCTGGGACTGACAGACAACCCATTGGTTATTAGTAAAGCAGGTGACTTTGCAGATTTACAAGAAACATGGAGATTGTCAGGTCACTAAGTGAGTGACACTTCAGCAGTGTCCTCTGCCTGAATTAGGATTCAATAGTAATTCAGTTTTTTCGCACTTAGTGTATTTCAGTCCATCCTAATAAAGAACATATCTAATAATAATAATATAACTAATAAAATAAAACATAACCACATGTAATTTTCCCATTCTCAGGGTGTCTCAGATCCTTTCTGTGGGGGAACAGTGCATTGATTCGTTCACTGAACGTACTACAATGAAGCAGTTATATACCCCTGAGTTTTCTCAATACACTGAAACTACCATGCCCGTCACTAGGAGGTGCAGAACTTCAGCTCTAATAAACAAACCACTCCTGTCCTCTCTGTGTTTCTTGTAAATCAGGTGCTTTCCCAGCAGGGCGTTTCCCACTGACTATATAAGCGACTGAACACTGTACAACTGAACAACTGCGCAGAGAACTTAAACGTTTTTGCTGAATGGTGTTGCAAGTACATCCATTAGGTAAGTCATGTATCACAGTCTCAATGCTCTAAATTGTGTATTACAATGTTTTTTATGGTACAGTACTTTGAGCAAAGATGATGATGATGATGATAATAAAATTACCTTGAGAAACTGATTTTTGGTTCCAACTCAACAGTAATTATAACAGAATTTTACAGAAATAGTTAATGGGATAGAGCTATGAAAGGATTTTTCCAAAAGGTAAAAGGTCAACTTCACTGTGACATCATAATGTCCTGATATAAACAAAAAACCAACCATTTGGCCCATTTTTCAACACCATAGCTCAGTTGGTTGGACACTGAATTGGTTACACCCTTGACACTCTAGTCAAAATAGGTTTTTAGCTGCAATTCAAGAAGGACTTGGCCGATTCCAGATTTGACGCACATGACTGACAACAGCTTTCATCTTTCCATGTCATCCATTTTGTGTTTTACTTCCTACTCTTATAAGTATCCAGCCATTTTGTATACTCTCTTTATACTTATAGTGGCTCCTTCTTATTTGTCTCTATTTGTATCTTCTATCTTTATTTTTCTACACTTGATTGTGATTCTTATGGACCAAAGCAAATCCCTTGTGTGTAAAAACTCTCATAAGAATCCATCTGTAAGGACCAAGCAGTGAGACAATGAGACAGAAGCAGAAACAGGATTTGTGTTGGAAAAAGTGGGTTTTGATTTATCCAAAAAGAAAAAAAGTATTAGACCACCCTTGTTTCTTCAGCTTCTTGTTCATTTTACTGCCTGGTACAACTAAAGGTACATTTGTTTGGACAAATATAATGATAACAACAAAAATAGCTCATAAGATTTTAATTTAAGAGCTGATATCTAGCCATTTTCCATGGTTTTCTTGATAATAACCAAAATCACTTAAGTTCTTACTGCCAAAAACAGTGCTTTTAGGCATTCCATGTTTTCTTTTCTGTCTGTTTTAGTCACATGATACACACAGGAGTCAGTACTTGATTGCATAACCATTGTTTTTGATGACTGCAGCCATGCGTCTTGGCATGCTCTCCACCAAATTTCTGACATTGTTCTGCTGTCACAGCAGCCCATTCCTGTTGCAAAAATTCAAACAAATTTGCTTTGTTTTTGGGCGTTCTCCATTTTGAGTTTGATGATGTTCCACAGGTTTTCAATTGGATTTAGATCTGGTGATTGAGCAGGCTTAGGCATGGTTCGAATGTTCTGGTTCTCCATCCAGGCTTTAACTGACCTTGCCGTGTGGCAAGGGGCATTGTCTTCTTGGAAAATCCAGTCATTCGAGGCAGGAAAGAGTTTATCAGCTGATGGAAGAAGACTGTTTTCAAGAGTAGCCCTGTACGTGACCTGGTTCATTTGCCCTTCACACAATTGCATTTGCCCTGTTCCACCCATACTGAAACAACCCCAGATCATCACCAATCCACCCCCATGTTTTACTGTAGGGGCAAAACAGTCTGGTTTGTAGGCTTCTCCAGGCTTCCTCTAACCAGTAAGTTGGCTGGAGTGGGCATTAACTCAAAATTGGATTCATCACTGAAGAGAACCTTATCCAATCATCAACAGTCCAATCCTTGTGATCCCTAGCAAAGAGTAACCGGGCGTTCCTCTGCCTTTCGTTGATGAAGGGCTTCTTCCGTGCCGTTTGACTTCAGACCAGCTAAGAAGTCAGTTTTGAACTGTCCTTGCTGAACAAGTCACATTTCTCGACAGTGCCCACTCATTTTTAAGGTCCCTGGAGGTCTGACGACGATTCCTGACACAGGAACGGATGAGTGCACTGTCATCTCGTGGGGTAGAAAGAGGGTTTCCTGCCTCAACCTAGCAATTTTGTAGTACCGTGTTCGGCTTGCTTTTTCTTGGTGTAATGAACGGCTGTCTTGGAGATCTTCAGTTTTTTTTTTTTCTGAGAAATATAGCTGCTCCTTGATTGCATGGCTCCTCAGAGGGGGCCAGAGGCCAGAGGCCAGTTTTCAGGACTAGACCGTCATAGGACGTATAGGATATAGTCCATGGTGTACATTCCCCATTTGAACCCCTTGGGATTGCTTATTTGAAATGGTTTCTCTTGAAACTGTGTTACTACTGGATATAACTTCTGCCAGGAGGATAGGCGAGTTCCAAGCACAGGGAGTTAGCGGTGACCGCCGCAGGTTCTTGCCAGATGGGTGTGTGATACTTCAGTCTCTTCAGCTTTTAGGCCGCTCAGAGCCGCGTTTTAATCAAACTATCAGTGATTTCCTGTAAGCACAGGTAAACGTTAGGGAGTGAGCGGGTCTTAAAAATCTATGTACCCTGACAAGCAGAGTGGTTATTCCCATTCATATGAATATTGACTCAGTTTCTCAACTATTGAACCAATGTACAACATAACCACATATTCAGTCTCATCAGGAAGGAAGACACTTGAGTGAGTAGCTGCTAATATTCAGCTGTTTTATGTATCTGACACTTGACAATTGACTTACCAGTTATATATATTGTAAAATCTATAAAAACATACACATGAAATTATATGATTGGTTGATAATTATTTATTATTAAAGGTAAATGCATGTCACATTTAGATTTTGACATTTTGATGATTTCCTCATTTGGGATCAGCTATCCAATTTAGTATGATCATAATGTCAAATCAAATAGGCTGATATCTAAGACAACAGTGCAGTTATTTTATTTCTGTTTTTCTGACCCTCTCAGGGATAGCCATGGATTATCAACCTGAGATTTTTGAAGACAAGGACCTTTTGAGAGAACTTAGAGAAGCAATGAAAAAGAGTCATGCTGAAGGTGCTGCAAAGATCCAGGATTATTTGGAAAAGGAGAAGAACACTCCACTGAATATTGCCATCACAGGAGAGACAGGCTCTGGTAAATCCACCTTTGTCAATGCCTTTAGAGGCATAGACAACATAGATAAGAGAGCTGCCCCTACTGGTTGTGTAGAAACCACAATGGAAGTCACACCATACCCCCATCCAAAGCATCCCAATGTAACTGTGTGGGATCTTCCTGGAGTTGGTACCACCAAGTTTCCAGCTGACAAGTACCTGGAGAATGTTGGATTTGAGAAGTTCGACTTCTTCATCATCATCTCAGACACTCGCTTCAGAGAGAATGATGTGAAACTCGCTCAGGAGATTCAGAAGATGGAGAAAAGTTCTACTTTGTTCGCTCAAAGATTGACAACGATTTACAAGCTGAGGGAAAAAGTCAGAGGGAGTTTGATGCAGAAAGGACTCTTAAACTAATCAAGGAAAACTGCATTCAGGGTAATTGTTTCTTATCTAATAAATATGAATATTATATTCAGTGGATTTTCTCTATTTGCAACTAAAGAATGTTGCTATATTTAAAGCTAATCAAATCAAATCATTGTCTCCACTCACAGGCTCCGATTGTTATTCTAAGTGTCTGACAGCATTATATATTATACCGCTGTTCAACCAGAGCCATAATATCACTAAAGTGATCATTTTACCTCGCATTGCAATTTTATTCAAAGTGGACAGAAATAAAATAAAACTCACCAAAACAGTCTTTGTTCGTCTTTCCATTGTTCCAACAATCACCAACACTGGTTTGGTTAAAATAAATAAATACAAATCTAAATAGCTGGAGATGGAGGGACTCATAGACTAACTACTACTATAATGATCAGCCAGACTGGATTTGTAAACACAGAGAGGCTGTGATAGTAACACATACAAAATAAATGTTAATTACTCTGAGGGAGTAATGAAAGCAGGACGCATGCACACATGGACAAACAACGTACCGCACCACACAGCTATCTAGTGGTTTTGCCTACTGGCCTCATCTGCTTCTGCTGTCTTTGTTTTAAAGCCGTTGATGATGCTAAACTAATGCAGGTGCTTCTGACCAATCGGAGGGGAGGGCAGTACCTGGAACAGGGCACAGAGAACAGAGCAGAGGCAAAACAAAACACACTATACTGTTAACAATAACAAACAAAACAAATCTAACTAGGAAGGTTATATAGTCTGACCATACAAAAATCAAAGAAACCAAATTGCAACCTAACTAAAATAAAACTCATATACAAACAGATATACTGTGTTGTCCACAGTCTACCAATGTAATAATTCCCGCTGTCTTTCCTGGCAATCCCTTTCTTATATGACTTCACTGTAACATACAGATTAAATCCACAGTCAATATTATGTACAAAATGCCCTTTAAAGCACAATTAAAGCTAATATGAAGCTTCAGCAGTCAGAATTAGTGAAATCAAGTAGTTGTCCTTCAAAGTTAATGTTTTCCCTCTATGTGTCCCTCCACTGTATCTCAGCAGCAAAGACCTTTAGCCCACAGACTCCCTCTTATTGAGCAGATACATAAATCTTGAACAGACACACAAGCAGTGGAATGGTGTCCTCCATCATTTCCTTTTATTGATAGCATTGTCATACAGTGAGTGCCAAGAAAAATAAAAAAATAAGATATTCTTTACAGACAGTATTTATGTTGTTGGGATCTGACAATATTATGCTGAACACATCAAACTCCTTTTGTGACACAGGTCTTCAAAATGAAGGTGTTTTGTCTCCTCAAGTCTTCCTGGTGTCCAGCTTTGAGCTCCACCTGTATGATTTCCATCTACTACATGAGACCCTAGAGAGAGAACTTCCTGCACACAAGAGGAATGCTCTGCTGTTGGCCATGCCCAACATCAACCTGGAGATCATCAACAAGAAGAAAGAGGCTTTACAGGCCAAAATAAAGTACTATGCCTCTGTATCTGCACTCATAGCATCTGCCCCAGTTGCTGGGCTTTCTTTTGCTACTGATGTAACCATTCTGGCTGAAACCATCAGAATGTACCAAGTTACTTTTGGTCTTGATTGTGAGTCACTTGAGAATCTTGCTCGTACAGCTCGTGTGCCTTTGAATGATCTTAAAGAAGTGATGACATCACCACTGGCTGCAAAGGAAATAAGCAAAGATCTTGTTATTAAGCTACTATGTTTGTCTGCAGGTGAAGCTGCATTAATGGCAGCAGAGGAAGGGTCCAGATTTAGTCCATTAATTGGATTCCCACTAGCGATGACCTTCTCTTTCATCTCCACCTACAGAGCTCTCAGTACTTTCCTCAACATGCTTGCTGAGGATGCACACAGGGTGTTCACAAAGGCTCTGGGTTTGAACACCTCATTGTGATATCATAATAATTAAAACTGTTAGCTTTGTATGCAAATGAGCTTCTGCATTATTTTTATGATGCTTACTGTCTAAATACAGTTTTCTTCTGATTGAAAGGAAGGCTTTTGAAATCAAAATAAATATGTTCATTGAAATTAACTGATATGAGCTAAGTTGTAATTACATTACATTTTTTCACAAATGAATTCCCCATGTCATAAATGTTCTTGTTCCTTCAGTCCCATCTACAGACATGGACATACAGTATGTTGTCTTTACATTCAGTCCTCAGTGACATGTACACTTGAATGATTATTAAATATCTGTTCTCATGAATGTAATTAATTCTTCCACACGTAGTGGATTGGGACCAAATCTACCTTTGGATACAAATAAAGTAACCTAAACTGGTTCTGAAAACAGAAAAATTGTGTGAATAAGTGTTCAGTAAGTTTAGCCCTGTACTCTCCAGGTTGCCGGTTGAAGTTATCAGTTTTTGGTCTATAAAACTACATTATTATTAAAACAGAACCAAATTTGTTGAGTAAAATATATTTGAATTTTATTATTTTTTACATAATTAATGTAATTTCTAACAATATAGCATACATCAATATACATCGGGTCTGCATAAGTCCCTCCCACCCCGGAAAATAATGGATAAAGAAATGTTTTTCCTCTTCATAAAGTAACACCAGTGATTGTCCGACCAATAAGACCTTTGTTGGATGAGAGCATATTGACCAACCCATCAACGAACCAACCAGAAGGCGTCAGGCTTAGTGCTTGTTTGCCTTTGAATGATCTTAGAGAAGTGAGGACATCACCACTGGCTGCAAAGGAAATAAGCAAAGATCTTATTATTAAGATATTGTCTTTGTCTGGAGGTAACATTGCATTAATGACAGCAGATGGCAGGAATGACCTTCTCATTTTACTCTACCTACAGAGCTCTCAATACTTTCCTCAACATGCTGATAGTGACAGCTGCAAAGTGACAGAGAGGGGGAGAGAGGGGAGAATGACATTCAGCAAAGGGCCACAGGTTGGACTTGAACCCATGGTCGCTGCAGCAAGGACTCAGCCAGCTCCACCAGGTGAGCCACCAGGGCGTGCATTTCTACTTTTATTATAACATTTTTTTGTAAAGCTGTGTGCATGTACAAAATATAGCAAACTGAATAAGGGAAATAAATGAAGGCACAAGTTACAGTAGAATGAAAAAATCCTGAAAGACAAAAGCATTTTATTTGTTGGAGCCTTGCTCTGTAAGATGTGCACTGATACACATATATATAGTGTAAATGACAGTGGATATCCATTGCATCGCTTCTGGGGACACCGTTGTTTAGGCCAAAATTAATTTTGACTCCATCTTCATTCATGCTACATCCTGCCCATGACATCCTCAGATGTGTCGCTCCGTTGTTCCTAGGTCAAGATTGATACTCAGAGGTGGTAGAGACTTTGCAGTTAGAGCTTCTAGTCTCAGTATCTGCACGAGAAGATCAGGGCTACAGACGGTCTGATTTTTTAAATTACTTTGAAGCACATTTTTAAAAGGGCTTTTTGTGTTATGTTATGTTGTGTCAATACACCTGTTACCCAACCCCTTCCCTCAATAAATGATTGTGAAGAAGACAATAAACAATCAGCTGGAAGGGACAAAAGTTTATTGTAACCCTACAAAAGACACAGGGTGAGAAAAAAATACAAAACAAAAATAAAATTATAGAAATGGGAAAAAAGGATTTTCATTCTTATACAAGACTCAAACTATCCATCATACACGGACCACAGTTTAATTATTCATATTCATATTTTTAATATAACATTTTGTTGTAATGCTGTGTGTACATACAAAATATAGCAAACTAAATAAGGCAAATAAATAAAGAAACAATTTACAGGAAAATGGAACATTCCTCAATGTTATGATCTTTTTTTAACTTCTCTCAAACATCAAGAATGGTGTACAAAATGCTTCTTTTTTTTTCCAACTGTACATCTTTCGGTGGAGGATACTTTTTTTTTCCAACCATAAAAATACTGACTCCTCTCAATTATACAAGCTCTAAAACTGGGTGCAACATTTCTCAGGCAGTACAAACTGTTGTGTAACAGGTGTGTTCCATATTGCAAGCAATTTTCTATTAAAGGTTAAAGTCAACACGTCACACTTTGTGCACCCTTCTTTAGGCATGCGGGTCGACACCAAGTGCGTGATCTGACAGAAATGTGGTGGTGTCAGAACCTTTACACACCAAGGTGACACAGACAGGTGAGGATTTAAGACTCAGTACACTCCTGTTCCGTACGAGTGTCCCCACAAATCCCTGCCATCCAACACACTGACTGATATCGTGTTTCCAGCGGCCCAGCCGGAGTCCCCAACCACACTTGGCCTTTTTCTCTCTCTTTCTTCTTCACACCATGTTTTTTTTTATTATTATTATTTTTTTTCATTTTTGCACCACTCTTTCGTTGCACCCTTCTCATGTGTGGAGGGATAGAAGCCCTCAAAATGGTGCTGCTAATGGAAATGTCCCATAATAAAAGTGCATTGAACAGCTACTAATTTCATTCCTCTGATTTCCATCTGTACACTCTAAAATCAGCCAGTCAATGGCCAAATAAACATCCAAACATGTAACAACATAAACATGTAATAATACTGACAATGTTGCAATACCCCTCAGTAAATAGTCTGCACTACAATATGGGTTAAAGCTCTGGATTAAGAGTTTAAAGGGTCTGCCAAAGTCTGATATACTAACTCTGATTAACTGGAAAGGAGCAGAGGTTAGGAAATAGAATAGCTCAAATATACATGAGAAGTCCAATCTTCCCACAGTACGTCGGACACCGCACAGATACCAGGATCTTTCATATGAACTTCACGTGTTTCCCTCTACCTGTTTACATGAAGACGGATGTTCAAATGTGGCATATGATTTTTGTTTTTATCGGTTTCCTCATCTCCCTCATCTCCCTCAGAACTGACCAGGAGCGGCTCATTCCACAGCTGAGCCCTCAGTCCAGCATTAAAGCCCCTGGGTACACTTCCTATAGCAAACTACTGTATGTCCATCTTCAAGAAGATGTTGTACCGAGGCGAGCCCATACATTGCAGCTTTTGTCATGCCTGCTAAGGTTTTAGAAATGCATATATAGACACATTTAAAAAAACATACATTGAATATTTCAAAAAGGAGACCTAGGTTGGCATCAGTGTGTGAGTCTGACTCTTGTTTGGCAACAGGTTGCCCATAGTAACGGGGTCTAGCCTTATGTAAACAAACACGTGAGAGAACTTGGAAGGAAACTGTTTTCTGTGAGTCTCTCTGAGGCTTTTGTCTTCCTGTTAGAGTCCATGTACACCATTAAAGAACCCTAGCTAACTAACTGATCAAGCTGATCAAGCCACTAGAAGAAGTTGTGAACCCTTTAAGTGCTTTGTTGTACCCTGACTTTACAATAACAGACTCAGCACATGGTGTTGTCTGAGATTACAACATCAACTGAAATAAAAACTCACAGAAATGCCTGAATCTTGGTAACAGAGTAATAAGCCCTAGTTTAACTTGAGAATCTTAACTGTACTGATGGCTCTGTCCAGAGACCGCATTGTTTTAGCACCAGTGGAACAGATCCTACAGACACTATGGATGAGAGGTAATTAAAGGCCCTATCAGAACTGTTGTAGCATCCTTTTGGCCACTTCTGCGAGTCCCTGTGCTCTGCATTTTAGTTGCAGCAGATGGAGTGGACATGACATTCAGATGTGAACCATGCACACTGGCAGCTGAGCAGGAAGATGACTGTAAACTAACCACAGATTGTGCCTTTAGGTTTAAAATCATATATGGCATTCCTTCATTATCTTTGTTACAGATAAAGGTCATTAAAGTACAGAGAGGACACTGTAGATCGGCTTGTGGAAACCTACGAGTCTAAAGTTTGTCAGAAAAGCTACAGTGCAAACGAGACACACAGGTGTGAGAAAAGGACGAGCAGTCTTATTTACATAGCGCAAAATGTATAGAAATTCACTTCAACAGCAATGTGAACTTGCAACACCAACATACAATAGAAACTATAAAAGAGCAGTTCAAATTCAAATTACAGGCTATAACAGTACACATTCATACTATTAGTGTTGTACTTCAGCTAATAGTGCAACACCGTCTAAAGCTAAGGCCCATTCCTGCTGGGATCCCAAAAATGGGATGTATCTGGATTCTTCCTCTGCTGCCAATAATAATAAATGATATGATGATAAGATATATAAAATAATCACAACTTTTAAAATGTACAATACAATGTGCATATCTCAGTGTAGATGCTGTTTTGATCCTGGAGTAATTCCTTATCAGTGGTGTGACCTCAACAGTTGGCTAATCAACCATTTAATACAAATAATTAGTTTGAAATACCTGTGACTACAAGACATAGAAAGAAAATGTTATTCACATTCAACTCCTCCAATTAAAAGGTTCCCAAATTATGATTTTTGTCTCCACAACAAACACTGCTTCAAACAAATAACAAAACAAATAACTTAACCAAACAACAAAACAAATACTTCAAACATATATTATTTCTGTGGCTCCAGTGTAATCATGTGAATTATTTGCCTCACAATCAGTGTTTAGTCTACAACAATATGATATATGATAGACTGAGGAACAAAAGAGTTCTGCAATCTGTTCAGTCTCTCAAATGTGTAACTCCTGAAATATCCCTCAATACCTTCATAAAGAGTCACCTGACGGTCACGATAGGAAAAATAAATGAATATGGAAAACCCTGCAAACAGATGGTAATTCATTTCAAATTAAATGAAGAAAATACTTAAATATGTATCCTCCGAGAATTCAAATTCTGTTAAAACTCTATTTTTTCGACAAATATGGCAGTATTTAAGTGTTATGTCCCTTTTCCTATTTTCATTAGTTAATGTGATAGGTACACTGCTTATTGATCAACAGAAAACGTTCCAACAGTTAAAATAGCTGAATGAAAGCACAGACAGAACAGAACAGTGGTGATAACACTGATATCCTTTGTGCTGCTTAGACAGACAATGAGGCACAGCTGTGTTTTCTATTTACCCGATGCATTCAAAATGAAATAGAACCGCTCAGAGTGGCTGATAGAGACATACATGTTATTGGATTATTATTTCTAGATTCTTGGTTGGCACTGTGTGCTTTTGATGCCTCACTTTAATATATAAAATCTTAATCTCCAGAAACTCACCAGTAACATCTAACCTTGTTTTGTTTTGTTGTTGTTTTGCATGTATAAAAAACAATATCAGCATTTAATACATCAATATCAGTCCTATACGCCTGAATGATAAGTTCAAGGAATAAAAACATCTTGCTGGTCCAGATTTTCTGTGAAAGAAAGTTTGCTCCAGGAAACTTTTGTTAAATGTTTCCAAACAGAAAATGGGACCTCTGTGAAAACAACAATGGCTCAAGCTCTTCATCACTCCACCCCACCACCATCAAGAAGAGGAAGATTACCTTCCTGGAGCATGAATCTGGGACTGCTGGTGAAGTTATAAAGTATGTTAGACTCTAGATAACTTTTACTTAAGATTATATTTAATATTCTTTACCATCTGTTTTATGTGACTTGTAATTAAAATACAGTAATAAATCTAACTATTATCATAAAAGAATACAAAAGTCACTTATCTTGAATGCAGTCTCTCCTGATTTGTGCAAGAGTCCTTTCTGCAACATCTCCCTCTGACCTTTTCTCCTCAGCTCGTAACTTGTTGTCAATCTGAGCAAACTTTTTCTTTAACTTCTTCAGTGAATTCAGAATCCAGTTGATTATCCATGGTGATCCCTGAAAACTGGAGGAAACGAGAAGTTAAAAAGTCACTATTGTCTGTAGGAGCCAATGTCTCCTGCAGGTCCGATTGTGCTTAAAAGGAAAGGTGCTGCAGCCAAGTGATGTGGCTGACTGGAAAGGACCTTTTTTTAGACCTTGTGCAGGTTCATGTCTATTTCTGCTTTCTTATTTGCTGTCTTTTAAAATTATTTTGTTGTTTTTTATGCAACACGTGAAGGCAAGGAGTGAACAGCACACCCTGACGTGCACCGAGTGTGAGGGCCCAATCATCACTGCTTGCAGTTTTAATTTTGGAATCACATCTGGACATTTATTTTTTAGTCTTCTAATCTCAGTCAGCCCAAGAGTGACTTACACAAAAGGATTTTAACAAATGGATACCGTGGTCACTGCATTGTCTATTGGGAAATCACAGGAACTTGAATCCATGGACCTAACATCATGCAGATAGAAAATATGAGTATTTATACAATATACATTTATTGGAAACTAGTACTACTACAGTGAATATGAGCAGTGATATACCCTGAGTTGCTCCAGCCCAGAGAGCTGTCTCAATACACTGAAACTGCCATGCCCGTCACTAGGAGGTGCAGAATGTCAGCTCTAATAAACAAACCACTCCTGTCCTCTGTTTCCGTGTTTCTTGTAAATCAGGTACATTCCCAGCACGGCGTTTTCTGCCTACTGTCTAAGCGACTGAACACTGTACAACTGAACAACTGCGAAGAGAAAGGATTTAAACTTTTTCGCTGACACAGTACAACCCTAAAATTATTTTCATTAAAAAATGAAGTGCTACATCCTGCCCATGACATCCTCAGATGTGTCGCTCCGTTGTTCCTAGGTCCAGATTGATATTCAGAGGTGGTAGAGCCTTTGCAGTTAGAGCTCCTAGTCTCAGGAATCACCTGCATGAGAAGATCAGAACTGCAGACTGTCTGATTTTCAATTTTTTAAATTACTTTGAAACCCGTTTTTAAAGGTCTTTTTGTTGAGTTATGTTTTATGACATTTTAGTTCTCTATGTTATCTTTATTTATTATTGTAAAGCATTTGTAGCTGTGTTTTGAAATGTGCTATATGTGCTAATGATAAATAAAGTTTTTATTATTATTATTATTAGTAGTAGTAGTAGCAGTAGTATTAATTTATTCAGAAACTGTAGGAGGTAGAGGAAGAGTTTTTATGAGACAAGGTGTAGTCTGAACAGTGAGTTTTCAGTACTTTGGGCTTATTCATTCAGATGAAATGTTACATAAACATTTACATGTATACATATAGAATCCACATACATTTTTCTGCTGCATTGTGAAAACATATCGGCAAATCTCTTCTCAGATTGGATTAAGTCTAATTGTTCTGTAGAGGAAATTATTATTGTTGTTATTAATTAAAGAACCATTCAAGAACATCAGGTCAAGTCTTCTGTTTAGATTAAATAACACACACAATGTTTCAAAAAGGGGACAAACAGGCTCACAATATTAAGTTTCTGAACCAACACAAGTACTTATACTAACTGAAAAACAGCATGAAAGAAGAAATATAGTCTAAACTGTAAGAGAGGTAACGTTTGCAATAGCAGCCATGGGTGAGCAATACATATGAGGTTATGTTATTTATTAGGATGGAATGGCTTACATTAATTATCAAAAACAATATTAAAAAATTACAAATGAATCTCACAAAGCTGTAAGGCTGAAGTGTCTTTCACTTAGTGACTTTAAAGCTCCAGGCTTCTTGTAAATCAGCACGTTTCTTGTAAGTCAGCTGCTTTACTAATAACCAATGGGTGTCTGTCACTCCCAGGACATTTTCATTGTTCAGTCTCTAAAGGGCTGGGCTCTGATGAGCTCTTCTATTGTTTTTACAGAAGTAAAGAAACTGAACAACTCACAGTGACTCATAGGGTGATCTGCTCTTCTCTCATCTGTTTCTACATTCAGACTTCAGGGTGAGTAGCCTCTAACATTCAACAAAGTCTACTTTTTATTTTAATGAAACATAAGAGGAAGCTGCTTCTCTCTGTCTAAAACAGGCTCATTAAGATATAGAGGATCCACTAAACTTATACTGCATGTTGTTGGGTTGTATTATACAACCCAACAGTAGTAAATTAATTGTGGGAGATCTGTCATATTTTTCATCCAATAACAATGATACATTCTCGTTGAAAGGTCTTAGATACCACCAGTAAAGGGTTAAGTAACATAGGCGGGACCAACCTGAGGCTAGGTGAAATAACAGTCCTGGCTCTAAGAGGCTGTGTACAAATGAGCTGTGATCTGATTGGACTAACCCCCCAGCAAGCTGCCTGTCTGAGCTGGAGATACTGTTTGACTGCAGTAACAACACAACTGCTTTCTTGAGGGACAGCGGGACTCTTTCCTTCTCTAAATAGGCAACCTTAAATTCTGTTTATTTAAAAGCATCATGAAGAAAAAACAAATCTATGTTCAACAATCAAAGTTATGTCCACCTTCAGTTGTTGGAAGGCCATCTCAAAAGCTCTGAATAGTCTACTGTGATGCAGTATGATAACAGCGCCCCCAGCTGTATGTCTGTTGTAGATGCATTACTGCACTGTTACTGCACTGTGCTAAAACTACAGACGGACAAATCTACAAGGATGCACAGTGTGGATGAGGGTTTGGTCAGATTTCTGTTACTATTGGATCAGTGGTGTGCAGGAGGAGTCTGTGTAACTGACTGTTCTGGTCTGTTATGACCTCAGATATAGACTGTGCAGAATAAATGTACTGCTTTTGATCTTCACCCAGCCCCCTCCAAACATAGTCTGTGTATGTTACTGCTGCTGATAATGATAGGCGTTGGATGTGTCACTGTATAACCATTTGCATTGCATTCTGCCATATTTTGTGTGCAAGGTGTTAGATCACTGTAGGATTACATTTTCTACTATTCTCCAAAAGACAATAATGACTTTTTGACTTATCGTTTCCTCCAGTTTTCAAGGATCAACATGGATAATCAACAGCATTCTGAATTCACTGAAGAAATTAAAGAAGCTCTACAAAACAGTAATCAAGCGTTAGCTGCTGCAAAGATCCAGGAGTATTTGGATCAGCAGAATAACATCCCACTGAATATTGCCATCACAGGAGAGTCAGGCTTTGGTAAATCCACCTTTGTCAATGCCTTTAGAGGCATAGACAGTGAAGATGAGGGAGCCGCTCCTACTGATTGTGTAGAATCCACCTCAGAGGTTACAACATACCCCCATCCAAAGTACCCCAATGTTACTGTGTGGGATCTTCCTGGTGTTGGTACCACCAAGTTTCCAGCTGACAATTTAAAGTGACAACACTTTAAATTCTGAGAGAAGAAAGAGGGAGTTTGATGAAGAAAGGACTCTTGCACGAATCAGGGAAAACTGCATTAAGTGCTGTAAGCTGTAAGTCACTTACAATAATAGTGAGATTAAATACTGGATTTTCATCATTTAAAATAAATCAGAAAAACAATGTATGATAGTAAACTAACACATTTTAATTTGAAGCTGAGTTTATTAACCTGGTCCAGTCACTCACGTTTTCTCAGCTGATGAGCAGTATGTGTCTGAAGTTGTCAAAAACTCAAGGACTACCATGTGCTTTTATGACCCCCATGCCCACTCCTCTGATAAAACCATGTTGAGCTGTGATATGCCCCCTGCTGACACTATTCATGAATGTCTGCCTCTGATCCCTTCAGTTTAAAAGTAACTGCTTTTACCCCAGTGCTAAAAAACCCTGTGTAACCCAGTAAGAACAACACTTAATTGACTACTGTACTCAGGTTCAACTCAAGGAGCGAGGGATGGATTAATGTAAAAGGTAAACACAGGGATGTTTATTTTCACAATCAACAAAAAGTAGAATCACAGTTCAGATTCAAATTCCCAATATATAAAAGAAATAAAAGAACTGAAAGTAAAGTGTCTCTTTACAGCTTATTGCTGTGTGATATCAATGTTCGTCAAAGTCCAGTCCAAAAAGCTTAGTTTGTATCCATGTCTGTCCAAGTGTATTCAATGTGTATGTGCTACCCGGGTAGAATGTGTGTGTTTGTTTGTAGGCTTGCTGCATGCAGCTTAGATCTTATCTGCTCCAGGCATCAATCTTCAGGAAGATGATGAAGATGGAGAATTCCAGATACTCTCTAACCCTGCCTCACGTCTGACAGGAAACCTGGTTGGGATCGAGGCTGTCCCACAATGTAGATCCAGCAACTCAAAAAACCAATCTGCCATAGCAGGACATAAAATGAATTATCTATCATCAATTACTGTACAGTATCATATCTCTCTTTAACTCAAGTGTAACTTATAATACTGACCACAAAAGCAATGATGAACTATATCCAGAGACCTTAAAACCTTAGACATCATTGTGTTTTTTCCCCTTTTTAACAGTATTAATAAATCATGTTACACAACTTATCCCATATCTCTAATCAATCATGTCTCTCATTCACATTCACCCTTATGTATTTTTAATCATCTCAACATCAACTGTAACACATTATTTATATCAGGAAAAACCCATATGTATACAAATCATGAGCATTAGCCCACATATAGCATATTTTTAACTCTCCAACACTGAGCATGGCGCCCAGAAATGACGCGATAAAAATTTGCGTTACACTAAAAATAAATGCACGACTCAGCATATTAACTGATTTCAGTGTCTCCATAACATTTACAGTTGACTCCAATTGGTTTTTTGTTGATAAGAAAATTGCTTAATCATAAATACACAGAAAAATTACATGTCCGGTCGCAGCGGTCTGGAACCCTCTGGCAACAACTTTGGACCAGTACAGACTCATAAACATGAAAACAAACAGTATTTCTTCCATACAATAGAAGAACTAACTTCACTCGTGGCTGTATGGTGACTTGTTAGCATCAGGCTTAGCTGAGGTGTTTTTGATCCCAGCATGCAACGCTCACGTCTACTGGATTTACTACATATCACATACATAGTGCGCCCTCTAGCGGCTATTTTAGGCAACTACAGTCATCTTGAAACAAAGTTTCCCTCATAAATTCAGATATTAAAATGAAACTTATTAACTATGAGGTCAAACAAACAAATATTAGTCAGTTAACCCAAAGCTGTACTTTCATAGGGGTTACACCTGGAACTGACCAGGAGGACTATATACGGATTACAGACCGTCTGCCTGTCAACAACAAAGACAACTCTGTGACCATCAGATGGCTCCTTATCTCCTGATTGATATACATGAGGAGTTATACATTTGCTCATAATTAGGGAATATTTTAATTGAAGCAGTTTGGTGTGAGAAGCATTCTCTTGCCACTAGTGCCAGCAATTTAAAACTATTGACCATGTTATTTATTTGTATGTTATTTATTTGTGTGTTATTTATTTGTAGGTGTTATTTATTTGTTGTAAATTATTGATTAGCAAACTGTAGAGATCACACCACTGATAGGAAATGAACAAAGAACAAAAGTACTGATATGAGATTTAAAATTTTAAAAGTTGTATTATTTCATATATCTTATTGACTTATACTGTTTGTGGCACAGGTCTTCGAGATGAAGGAGTGAACTTTCCACAAGTCTTCCTGGTGTCCAGCCCTGAGCTCCACCTGTATGATTTCCATCTGCTACATGAGACCCTAGAGAGAGAACTTCTGCACACAAGAGGAATGTTCTGCTGTTGGCCATGCCCAACATCAACCTGGAGATCATCAACAAGAAGAAAAAGGCTTTCCATTCGCAAATAAAGCTCTTTGCTACTCTATCTGCACTCAGTGCAGCTGTAGCAGTTCCTGGGCTTTCTGTTGCTGTTGATGTAGCTTTGATGGTTGGAGTTGTCTCAAAATACGTAGTCAGGTTTGGTCTTGATAGCTCGTCACTGAAGAGTCTAGCTGGTAGCACAGGTGTGCCATTGGAGGATCTGACAGCTGCTATCCGTTTACCAATTGCTGTAACAAAAATAACCCCATTTCTTATCATGAAGCTGCTTACTCAATGTGTAAGCACAGCTGCATCAACAGCAGCAGAGGAATGGTCCGGATTCATTCCAGTATTTGGAATCTTAGCAGCAGTGACCCTCTCTTTGATCACAACCAACAGAACTCTGAATAGTTTCCTCAACATGTTTGCTGAGGATGCACACACAGTGTTTAAAAGGGCCCTGGGTCTGAAGACCTCAGTGTGATATTGTGATAGGTCAGTGGAACGAAGCCTGTGAGCTAGTTCAGGCAGTCAACTCGAGCTGTGCTGCTATATACACATGACATGCCTCACTCCATAATCACTAACCAAGCGCACCCTTCCAATCTGGTGGTCTATTTAAACTGCACAGTTTCCCAGCTCTCCCTCTGCTCTTTCAATGCCGCTGTTGCCCTGCATCCGTATTGCTTCTGCTGCTCTGTAAGCCCCACCACCATCCCAGCATCCACCTGTAGGCTCCGGCTAGGGGTTTAAGGTATTTGCTCATCACTCCCCAATATCTCTATGTAAACATATCTGCAGGGAGTGATGAGGTCGGAGCCTAGAAGCCAAAATCTAAATATGCTATACTGCTGTAATAAACATTACTTTCTAAATAAAATTTCAAACGTGAGTTGTCTGACTGAACTGGTTTTAGTCGTTACAATACACTGAAACTGTTGTCATTTAATGAAACAGGTATTGCTCATTAAAGAGATAAGACAAATGTGTCTACATGAAATAAATATTCTGTAATTAGTAATAAACTGCATCTTTTACTGCATGTAGTTGCTTGATCACAGTGTACTGTGTATGTGATCATTTTAGTACAGGAGTACAGTCTAGACCTGCTGTATAAAGATTTTCCTGTGATAACTTCTGTCACGATGTGGGGCTATACAAATAAAACTGAATTAAACTGAATGCTTGTATGTTATTGGGAAGATTTGCGTTGTACGAATCTAGATTATTGGCTTGAGCTGTAACTGAGAAATAGTTGTATCAATTCATCTATTTCTTTAAATTAAGCAGATGAGTGTTTGGTCTAGAAAAGATCTGAAACTAGTGAAAAGCAGCAGAATGTTTTTTATTAGTTTTGATACATGACCAAAACCATTATGAATCAATATTGTCTATTAATCAATGAATCTGTGTCAATACACCTGTTACCCAAACCCTCCCCTCAATAAATGATTGTGAAGAAGACAATAAACAATCAGCTGGAAGGGACAAAAGTTTATTGTAACCCTACAAAAGACACAGGGTGAGAAAAAATACAAAGCAAAAATAAAATTATAGAAATGGAAAAAAATGATTTTCATTCTTATGCAAGTCTCAAACTATCCATCATACATCAACATTGTTTAGGCTATATGTAAGTCTGAACCCATCATCAGCAAACGTATGGGTGCCATTTACCTGATATATCTAAAAGGGATAAAACTGGTGGCTCAAAAGAAGACCAGTCTTTATTCAGAGTCAGGTCATTTGCATAACCTGTATTAAAATCATTTCCTTGCAGAAGCTTCCTATACAGACACATAGACACCTAGTGCTTTTTAGGGCTATAGGGTGATCTGCTCTTCTCTCATCTGTTTCTACAGTCAGACTTCAGGGTGAATAGCCTCTAACATTCAGCAAAGTCTACTTTTTATTTCAATGAAACATAAGAGGAAGCTGCTTCTCTCTGTCTAAAACAGATCTTCTATATTAAGATATAGAAGATCCACTAAACTTGTAATATTACAATATTACTGATCGGGTGTTTGAGGTTATGCTGCATCATAGTGTGATATTTTAAAGGAAGAGTGGACAGACATTTAGTCCTTTTTAAAGATGTAGTGTATGTTATAGGGTATTCATGACTGCTGCATGGAAGTGATCAACTACACCCAAAAAGTAATCAACAATTCAGTTATCAATTCTCGTCAAAAAGCTCTCAACCAGTGAAGGGTTAACTAATGTAGATGGGCGCAAACTGAGGCTAGGTGAGGCTCGACTGGCTCTGTAGTGAAATTCCTAACATTGTGGTATGCGTATTGGTATTTTTAGTTAATGAACACATTTGAGTAGTTCTTCCACCACTGATTCCTATTTTTCATGTTAGACATATCACAGGAACAACACTTGTATGCATTTCACTCTTTGCTCTCTGTCGGCGTCAACACTTGATATATAATAGAGACTGTATAGCATGTTAGAGATAAAATCAATATTTCCTTTCCTGATATAGACATAACTGAACCAGTCTTTATTCAGATTCTGGTTGTTTTGCATAACCTGTTTAAAATCATTTCCTGGAAGAAGCTCCCTGTACAGACACATAACCACCTGTAATCTTATATTGCATAGGGCAATAAGCAACATTTATGCCTCTGTTCTGCTGCTTTATGGCTTTAACTCATTTTATTCTTTTTGTTGTTAATTGTTCTGTTTTATACTAAAGCATTTGTTACTGTGTTTTGAAATGTGCTATATAAATAATGTGTATTATTATTATCATTAATATTTAGTACCAGTACAAGGTAGAGAAATAATAGTTCTTTAGGGGACAAGGTGCAGTCTGAACAGTTTCAGCACTTTGGCTTTCTTTACTTAGAGGAAATTGTATCCTGTTTTCCTCTACCATAAGAAGAATAGGAGCAGTGCTGACTTTTAACTAACTGCAGCGTCAGACTGTGGTGAGGGGTATGATATCAAAGAGATACTTTCTGGCCCAGGGGCATGCGAGGGTCACACTTTTGACTGACGTCATTGGTAATGTTACATATACATTTTTCAAAAAGGGGCCACCCAGGCTCACAATACACAAGTTTGTGGAGTGCAATAAGTGAGGAGACAAGAGACGGAGATGCGTCGAGTCAGCTTTACTCTCCACGTCAATATCATAACACACTGTACGGTCAGTGAGGTCAGAAACTTCTACACTACATTAACCCGGAACCGGCATCCCCTCACACCTCTCCCTTAAAGGTACAGTCCCCTGGTGAATGTCTCTTTCAGTCTTACTTGTGGGTCACCACAAGTTCTTATAATAACCAAATAACTGAGAAAATGAAAGAAATATGATCAAAATTTTGAGAGAGGTAACATTTTCATAAGCAACATGGGTGGGAATGGACAAAATACATAATACATATTAAGGTATGTTAGGATAAACTGACTTGTTAAAAAATGAATTACTAATGAATCCCATATACTGTAAGACAGAGGTCATTCACTTACTCTGCATGTTTCTTGTAAACCAGCACTTTTCGTGAAAGTCAGCTGCACTTATAATATGACTGCTGCATAGCAGTCATAAGCTACTCCCAAAAAGTAATTGACTCATCAATTATTCATTGGAGATATAGCATATTTTTTTCGCCCAATAACAATGATCAATTCTCGTTAATGTCTCAACACAACCAATGAAGGGTTAACTGTTCTTTCCAGTCGAGGCTCAGTTCATCTCAAATGACCCTGTAACCCAGTAGATAAATAGACACTATAAGTTTGGTTATATTTTCATTCTTACTTTGTGTTCGCTAAACAATGTGTCAATCAAAGTAAGGTTGCTTGGCCTTGACTCTTACTGGCTGTATTAGTCAATACAGACATCTGATTGGAGAAGGGAATTAAGTCCCACCCCTCCAGGTTGAGGTTCGGCAGCTCAGTCAGCCAGCCGTAACTTCGATCTCCGTGGTCAAATCAGCCGCACGTAAATTTCGACTGTGCGATTATTCTCAGCATTACGGTAAATGCGAAGAAACAGCGTATTCATTTCCGGTTTTCAAAATAAAGGTATTATGAACATTAAGCTATAATTCGAACCTACATTTAAAATAAAATATGTTGCATTAAAGTTTTCCATGCGCCCATGATGAATAAAAAACACCTCGTATCGAGTATCTTTACTGCGCAGTGGAGACATGTCAAAATAAAAATCCCATATTTATGCCTCCAGAGATTGCATATTTGACCATATTTGAGGTACTGTAAAAACATATTGCTCAATATTTCCTGGCCAAGGATGATATATCTGACTTCTGCACATCTAAGACTACACAAACACTCAACATCAAGCACTTTTACTGCAGCAATTTGGAGAAATTTAAGAACAAAATTCCATATGTGTACCTCCAAGTGGCATATTTGACCATATTTGAGCTACTGTAAAATAATTTTGCTCAATATTTCCTGGATATGGATGGTATATCTGACTTCTGCACATCTAAGACTACACACATACTCAATATCATGCATTTTTACTCTACCAATTTGGAGAAATTCAACAATTAAAGTCCTTATGTTTACCTCCAAGTGGCACATTTGATCATATTTGAGCTACTGTAAAAACATATTGCTCAATATTTCCTGGCTAAGGATGGTATATCTGAGTTCTGCACATCTAAGACTACAGACACACTCAATATCAAGGACTTTTACTGTACCAATTTGGAGAAATTTTAAGAACAAAATTCCATATGTTTACCTCAAAGTGGCATATTTCCCCATATTTGAGCTACGATAAAATACTATTGCTCGATATTTCCTGGCTAAAGATGGTATATTTGACTTCTACACATGTAAAACTACACACATACTCAATATCATGCATTTTTACTGTACCAATTTGGAGAAATTTAAGAACAAAAGTCCATATTTGTGCCTCTAAGTGGCATATTTCACCATATTTGAGCTACTGTAAAAACATATTCTTCAATATTTCATGGCTAAGGATGGT